GCTTCTGGCACCCATGTGGTTCACCTTCTCTGCCCTAGGAGTGTGGAATGGCTGTGGGGGAGCCTTTTCCTGGGCGCTGGGACTTGCTCACCTTCTCTGCCCTAGGAGCGTGGAATGGCGGCAGGGGAGCCTCCTTCTGGGCGCTGGAACTGGTTCACCTTTTCTGCCCTAGGAGCGTGGAATGGCAGTAGGGGAGCCTCCTCCCAGGTGCTTCAACAAACTATTTGAACTTCCTATTTCTTAGGTTCTTCTTTTAGCTTTGTTTATGCATGAGAATCTTCCTGTGGGAAATGAATGCAATTCTTTCTCCTTACTCTGCATAGAAGTGGTTGGCTGTCACAGAATAGCAGTGGTTTAGCTCAGGACCCAGAGCTGAAAGACAAGGAACTCATGCACCCCTTTCCACTCTAATCAATAAACAATGGTTGAATATGCATTGCTCTCAAACATTTCCCTTTCAGTTTTGGAGAAGCTGAAATTATACCTCCGAAAAATAGGTTTAATATCATATCCATTTAGCTTTTCATTTGGATGCTGTGGTCATTTTTTGAAGGAGTAAGAATTGAAATAAACCACATGTCATCAGTACTATGGCAATGGAAAAAAATTTATCCAGGTGAACAACAAAGGCAGACTGACAACAAAGAAATAGACTAACTAGTTAGCATTTATTTCAATTTCTGATTGTGCAGGTGACATACAGAAAGACAGTGGATGTTTGTGTGTAGTCTTGTACCCTGCAATCACACCAAACTGCTTCTGACAGCATCTTGCTTCGCACCGTTGGCTCTAAGGTTCATCTCTGTCCTGATTTGGTCCCGGGGATGGAACCGAGGGCCTCGAGCCAGCCAGGCACATGCTCTACCCGAGCGACACCCCAACCCTTGAAGTTTTAAATCTTCTTTCAAACACCTTCTTCTCTTTGCCCTACTGCAGCGGTGACAACCCAACCGAAAAGCTGAGGGGCTGGGAGCCGGCATCTGCACTGAACTGGCAGAAGGAACTGGTGATGCTCACTGAGCTCAGATGTTTTTGTTACTGGGGATCAAACTCAGGACCTTGCAGTAGTGAGGCAGGTGGAGGAACCACTGAGCTAAATCCCTGGCCCTCAGTTTTGTTTCTATGGAAGTGCTTTATAAAAGTGAGAACATCTTTCTTTTAAATACTATAGAGTTCTAGTCACGAATTGTTAGTTTATCAAAATCTCTGGGACCTGAGGCCAGGCAGTCCTCAGACATGGCTCCAAGAAAAGCAGAACCCATGAAACCCTACGTGTAGCAAGCTGCACTAGGCCAGACTAAACTCCACTGTGAGACTGCTGATGAGGAGCTGTAGGCCGTGAGAAATACCTCCGCAGGCGCACCCACCAACACACTCACTCACAACATGCAAGGGCTCAGACTCCACAGTGAGAACATAATTTAAACACGAACAAGACTGCACAGACGCTTCACCAAGATACACAGCTAGCAGATGAGCCGGAGACACCCACCACAGGGCCATGGCCATCCAGGCCACGACGAGCAGCACTGAACACTGGAAGGGCCACGGGGGAAGGCGGCCGGCACTGGAGACCACAGCTGTGCCTCAAACTCGCTATACAGACACGCTCCCAAGGGGTGGCGCTTTCATGCTGCAATTTGAGACAAAGGAGCACTCTCCAGTCTATGGGATGTGACTCCCAGTCAACAAAACACCTAACAGCTCAACGCGTGCACCTGTGAGTGCTCGCTACCTGCTTCTTCTATAGAGCACCCTAGTATTTCAGCTTTATTTTCTCCTAACGCAGGGGCCAGCAGGCTTCCTATACAGGTGCAGAGAGTGAACTCCCAGTTGCACAACTGAATCCCTTCCACAGAGCAGGCCAGCTGCAGAAACAGGCATTCCCACCCAGTGTGTGGCAGTGACAGGGGCCTGGTCCGGCCCCAGGCCAGAGTCTGCTGGCTGCACCAGGGCTGGGGCAGCAGCAGGCAGCCAGGCCAGGACTCTTCACGGCTCTCCCCGGCTGCAGGGCTTCGACACAGGGAGCTCCCGCTGCTTCAAGCACTGGTCCAAGGCAGTCTTAGGGGACACGTTTCCTGCACACACCACAGGCCCTGTACTGCTCAGCGGGCAGAGCCTGAGACCACGCAGCAGGGCTGGGTAGGGCCGAGGTCCTGCCCAACAGTCCCTTCCCACGAGAGCACCGAGCCCCGGAAGCATGTGCCCTGCCCACGGGGAAGGCAAGCACCTGCGTCCCAGGGCCACCACCCTCCGCAGCAGCGGCAGGTGACGAGGGACACCGTGGGCATGCATGGAGCCTGCCTAGGCCTCCAGCTCATCCAACGGCCAGACACTGGGGTGCAGGGCCAGGATCGGGACCCCAAGCCGCCACACACCTGCACGATACCCACAGCAGGCTCAAAGGAATACACTTTATTCATCTACCTCAAACACTAGACGCTAAAATTCAGCTGGACTGACTGTAACACCTATTTACAGAGTGCTGCCTGAGGCCGGCTGGGGCACACCTGCCCTTCCCCGGCCACCCATGGCACCGTCCTCCAAGTGGCTGCGGCCACCTCCTGCCTGCAGCACGGCATGGGCAAGGACAGCCTCGGATGGCACTGAGCCTCAGCAGGCCCGAGGCCTCAGTACTTCTTCAGGCTGCAGGCCAGGCTGCCAGGGAGCCGGATGCCCTGCAGGGGCGGTGAGTTCCAGACAGCCGAGCTGGTGCGCTTGTGGTAGCGGGGCTTGCTTTTCTTGAAGATGTCCTCCAGGTCCAGGGGGGCGATGGTCCCGAAGAGCTCGGCGAGGCTCGGGGGGTGGTAGTACTGGTGGACAATGGCCTGGCTGAGCTGGGTGCCTGGAGGGCAGGGGACGGGGGGCTGTCACTGCTCTGCACCCAGAGCCACCGCCTCCTGCTTACCAAGCTCCCCAGAGCTCAGGGAGCCAGCGCTGAGCCTAGGCCTCCCTAGTCACAAGGCCCTGCTGGCTGTTCACATGAAGGAGATGGAGACACCCTCTGTTGCAGGGCTCAGAGCCGGAGGTCAGCTGCGAACTGTCCTCCAAGGAATGCCAACCCGTGGTGTGCTGGGCCTTCCCAGCACCTGCCAGGCAGTTGGTGGTGCTGGCCCTGGCTTTTCTGAGCTCTGCCTACTCCCGCCCCCACCCAGCTCCCTGCTGCCTGGTGAGAAAGACAACAGGAGCAGCAACAGCAGGAGCAGGTATTGCCTGGCTGCAACGGAGCCTACTCCTTTCCAGGTCTGGCCCCCGGCTGAGCAGAGTGCCTGACCTGCCCTGCAGGCTCACCAGTGATGGCCTGAGCTGCCAACCCCTGGCAAAGCAGTCTGCACAGCCACTGGCAGGGCCTGGGAGGGTGACACGGCAGGGACTCCGTGTCCCCAGGGCTGCTCACCTCGGGCCCAGGCCGGGATGGGCTTGCGGGGCTGGGCCTCATCATCGGTGGAGTCATCGCTGTTCAGGTCCATCCCGTAGTTACAGTAGTTGTCTGGGTTGATCTTGGGGGGGCGCCTGTGCCCTTGAGGGGTCATCTGATAGGAGGTACAGGCTGGGGACTGGGAGAAACAGGTGCATTGTCAGCTCCCTTCCTCTGCAGCACCACGTGGGGGTGCCAGGCACTTCCCGAGAAAACCACAAGGTGCTGAGGTCACTTTTGGACTTTAAAATGTCACAGACTACACTGCTCTTGCCGTGGCTCCCAGGGCCATGCCACTCAGGGGTTCAGCAGCACTGTAGGGAAACGGCTTCGAATGTCCCACCAGGCACTGTTACCCGGCAGAGCAGCCTCCTGGGACACAGCCCCACAGTTGGCAGTTATACTTGGAGACAGGCGTCCAGCACGCACTACAGTGAACAACCGACTGCCCAGCGGTGCAGCCTGCACCCTGGCATGGGGAGCGCGTGCACTTGTGCCAACAGTGGCTACAGACGTAGGAATCCAGGGTGCACCCCGAGCTCAGGTGTTCTCTTGAGCACACCCTTTTAACAATTCACACATGGGACCGGGGATTTAGCTCAGTGGTTTCGCCGCCTGCTGTGCGAGCTCAAGGACCCGAGTTCGATCCCCAGTACCAAAAAAACAAAAAAAAAACCAAAACAACAACAATTCACACATCTTAAAGTTTAGTGGTTTCAGGGGCCGGGCATTTAGCTAAGTGGTTCCGCTGCCTGCCTCGAAAGCACAAGGTCCTGAGTTTGATCCCCGGTGGCAAAAAAAAAAGTTTAGTGGTTTCCTAATAAATTCTACTTTTAGAAAATGAAAATAGATGTGAGGAGGGAGCTGCCAGGCTCCTTCTCAAGATCTCTCTCTCTCTCTCTCTCTCTCTCACACACACACACACACACCCCACCCAGCACCCTCACCTGTACCTCCACCGTCACATTCAGGGCTTTGCTAGCTGCTGCTGCCTCCCTGGCTTTCTGCTCCTGCTCCTCCTGTAGCCGCTGCTCAGCCAGGCGCTGCTGCTCCTCCTGGGCCTCAGGTGGCAATGGGCACTGTGAGCCTCCCCTTGGCCCCACCCCCGAGGGCAAGGCGGGCTGGCCAGCGGTTCCTCGGCTCCCTGCTCCCAGCCAGGCGAAGCCCTACCTTCTTCTCCAGTTCCCGGTGCAGCTGCAGGGCCTTCTCCCGCTCCTGCAGCTCCCTGAGGACCCGGCAAGAGCCTGTCAGGGCAGCAGAAGACCCCTGGGCCCGTCCCCACCCCTGCTGGGGAAGCCCGGCCCAAGGGCATGACAGGACACCAGCTTAGGGCCCGCCCCGCACATGTGCCCTGAGGCTGCAGGCAGGGCTGGACTGGGCTCTGCAGTCCACACCTCCCAGGTCTCGGGCCTCCTCCGTGCCACCTTCATCCTGTCCTGTTACTGAACCACAGGGACCCCGCGCCCCTCGCCACTCTGAGCCTGAGGCCAGATGCCAGCCCCTCCCCAGGCTGTGGGGCTGCGGGAGGCCTCAGGGCTGCCCTGTCCTGTACCACGATCCCCACCCATGCAGAGACCCGAGGAGTGGGCACACCTGCTGGGCCCCACCTCCCGGCACCAGTGTGCACTCTGCCCGGGGTCACCAGCTGCGAGCCCAGGAAAAGCTGGCAGCCTCCACAGTGGCTGGGAGCCACCCTGCCCCACATGGTGGGCAGGGCCGGGCAGGGGCCTCACCTGTCAGCCTGGAGCCGCTCCTGCTCCCGCCGCCGCTCCTGCTCCTGCTGCTCCGCCAGGCGCCGAGCCTCAGCTGCCTTGCGAAGCCGCTCCTGCTCCTCCTCCTTCCTCTTCTGCAGCAGCTCCTGGTGGCGTCGCTCTTCCTCCTCCTGGGACGGCACAAGGGCCAGCGTCAGGCAGGGTGGGGATCATGGGCCAGCACTGCACACAGCCGAGGGACTGAGCTGCCACTGCCCAGGCGGCTCCACAGCCAGCAGCAACGGTGCCTGTGACATGGCACAAGCCGCTCCAACAGGGGGCGCAGCTTCCTCACTCACAGGGGCCTGATCCTCAGGGAGTCTCAGGTGTGTTCACACCGCACACAGAGCAGTGCCAGCCCCAAAGCAAACCACAAATCTTTGAGCCGCAAGAGAACTTCCTGCAAAGCCAACCAGCACAGCGTGCTCCCTGGAGGGGAGGACACGCACCTCCTCTGGCCAGGGCCCACGGGGGATTCGCAGAGCCTGCTCGCTGAGGACATGGAAACAGAGGTTAAGTAACCAGCCTGAGAGCACACAGCTCCTGAATGGCAGGGCACAGACAGGAAGTCTGGCTCCAGATGTACACCAGCCTGACCCTCAAACTGTTGCCTACACAGAAGAGGGGTGGGCCCGAAGCGAGGAGGCCCAGCAGGACCAAGCACAGCGGGCCACAGCCACAAGCCCTCCAGCCGCAGCGCCCACCCCGGCCCACGCACCTGCCGCAGCCTCCGGAGCCCACGCGCCTCCTCCTCCTGCCTCCTGCGTGCCTCCGCCTCCTGCCTCCTGCGTGCCTCGGCCTTTTGCTTGGCCTTCTCCTCTGCCTGCCGCTCCTCCTTGGCCTGCAGGGCCCACATGTGCCCGCTGGAGCAGCCTCACTCCACCCCGCAAGCACCACGCCATCCTGGCCATGCTGGCCCGGGCCGCCCGCCTGCCCAGAGCCGCAGGGTCCCAGGCCGACCCCCAGGGCACAGCGGGGCCACAGCCTCAGCCCCTGTGCCCGGCACCCACCAGCCCGGATCACACCTTCTCTGTCTTCTCCTCCAGCTGCGCCAGTCTCTGCTCCATCTGCTTCTTCTTCTCCTCCTTCAGCTGCTCCACCCGCTCCCGCGCCTGCAGCACCTTGCGGTGGCGCTCCTCCCGCTTCCTGCAGGGCATGGCCGTCAGGGCCAGGGCGCCCGCCAGGCGGGGTAGGGGCTGGGGCAGGGCACTCACAGCTTCTCCTCCTCGCGTCGCCTCCGCCTCTCCTCCTCCACCTTCTGTCTGCGCAGCTGCTCAGCCTCCTCCTTCCGCCGCAGGCTCTCCAGGCGCTGCCTCTCCTTCTCCTGGGATGGGGGGGGGGGCGGGGGACAAACCCTGACCTCCAGGCCAGTGGCAGGTACTCGAGCTCCACGCTCAGGGCAGGGACGACCCAAACCCGAGGGTTGGCTCCCGGCAGGATGCACAGCCCAGGGCCAGAGGCTCAAGCTGCCAACCAAAGCAGGCCCAAACCAGCGCGCACAGTGTGGCCGCATCAGCAGTGCGCCAAGAGCAGTGAGCAGTGCAGTGGGGCTGAGGGGCGGGGCTGCAGCTGTGCTGCCCACACAATTGTGCTTCACCACCCGCATGCTGCCTGCCCGTGTCGCCTGCTCCTCCATGTGCCTCAGCTGTTTCGCAACAGTTGAAAGAAAGAAAACACCGCCGGATGCTGAAGAAGGGTATACAGGCTGGGAGACAGATGAAGGACTGTGGTCTTTCCTTGTTTTCCACACTGCCTGTGACACGGCCACAATAAACGCAAGGCAACGTGTGTGTGGCACAGTGGAGCTGCCCGTCCCTCTGCAGAGCACGGCCCAAGCGGCAGCAGCAGCGACAGGCGGCCAGGCCCCAAGCCCTCCCCAGCCAAGGAGACGGGCGCGCTCGGCAATCCTCCAGAACAGCTGCATGCTGCTCCTCTCTGCTCTCCTCTCCTGCTCCTTTCCTCTGGTCAGGAGCTTTGGACATGCGCAGCAAAGCACAGGACAGAGCCAGGTAACTAACACCCCATCTCCCCAGTGGGAGGCCAGAGAAAGAGGAGCCCCAGGGAACGGAAAGCCCTGGGGTGGTCACAAGAGCCTGCCAGGGTTCCGCACGAGTTCCACAGGCCGCCTTCAGGCCCACCTGGCCGCTGGTGGCACCCACAGGGACAGAGCCTCATGCCCTGCCAAGGGACCGACCCTGGGGCCACAGACAGCAGGGGAACCTGCAGCCTCGCCAAGTGGATGGGGAGCACACCGACCCTCAGCTAGACAACGCCAGGCCAGTCTCAGCACAGCTGCTGTAGCGGCATCATGCAGGAGTCCCCAATCACTGAGTCTCCAAAGAACCGAAAACCCCAACTTGCAAGGGAAGACAATCAACAGAGTGAGGGCGGCTGTTGCTAGAATTATCTGGGACTTCAGAGCAGCTATTATGGAAAAGCTCCAATGAGTCCTCACGTATATGCCAGAGACACTTGGAAACACGGGGAACTCTCAGCAAAGGAACAGACATAGAGAACCAGACAGGAACCTTAGAAAAAACAAATGTTACGACTCAACGGATAGGCACAGGAGCACAATGGAAAAGACCATGAACGTAGTCACCACGAAGATCAATGAGTGAGCTCAGCACGGAGAAGAAACTGCTAAGGAAGAATCAACAGCTGGGATCTCATCTTATTAAAAAGCTTCTGCATTGCAAGAGAAACCACCAACAGAGCTAAGAGACAACCTACAATCTGGGAAAAAATCTTTAGCAGCTGTACCTCAGACAAAGGTCTACTATCTAGAATATATGAAGAACTCAAAAAAAATCAGATCCCCCAAATTCAAAGACCCAATTCAAAAATGGGCATCTGAAATGAACAGACAATTCTCAGACAAAGAAGTAAAAGCAGCAAATAAACATATGAAAAAATGTTCAGCATCACTGGTCATTCAAGAGATGCAGATGAAAACATTGAGATTCCACCTCATCCCACAAAGAATGGCTGCTATCAAGACATCAAGTTATCAGCGTCTCTGGGATCAGGGCGACAACACCAAAAGGTCTCTGCTCTTCCACTGGCGCCTCGAAAGGAGAGGAAGAAGATGCTTAGATAGTCGAGGACAAGATGGCTGAGAATGCCAAATTCAGGGACAGACACAACCGGAGGGGAGTCCCAAGAAATCGACACTGAAAACGCAACACAAAGGGGAAACGCCAGCAGCAGCCAGAATGAAGGCTGCCTTCTGTACAGGGGACGACACTCAGAATGGATGAAGACGTCTCCCCAGCAGGAAACTGCACTGTGCCGAAAGAGAAACTTCACCTGGCAGTTTTCCTCCAGAAGAAAGGAGGAGGCAGCACTCTCAGGTGAAGGAAACTAGAGAACCCTCCACCTGGAGCAGAAGTCCTTTGGTGGCGGAGGAGGGCACCAGAGGCGACAGACAGTAGACAGTGGATGAACAGAGTTTCCACTTTAGTTCCCAAAGTGCCCACGCTGTGTGTTACTGGGGCAGCCAGACTGGTGCCATCTGTCAGGTGACCGCATGCACACACGTGAGGAAGGCACAGGGAACCGGTGGCACTGCCCACTTAGCCCCCCACGCTGTCTGCCTGGCCCTGCTGAGACTCACGAGCCCCAGGAGCCGAGACTAGGGACAGCTGCTGAGCTGGGAGAGAACCCGGGGCCCGTGGCCTGGTGGGCAGCCAGTCACACCCTTGGGTGCCTCAGTGGTGCCCACACCCCACAAGCTCCTGGCCGAGACGCTAGTGCTCCTAGGGCCACAGCAAGTGCAGGGAGGGAGGGCTCTACTCACAACGAAGCTGCACTGCGGAGGGAGCAGAAGCCACGTGTCAGTGCCAGGCAGGGCGCCCCAGCCCACCCCCCCGGAAGGCGTGGACCAGGCCCGCCGCAGCCATGAGGACCCGGGGCACCCTCACCTTGGGGTCCACGCGCAGCGGGGTGTTGCGCTTGATGAAGGATGTCATGCCGGCGCGGCGGGGGGCGGAGCCGGGCGCCATGAGCATCTGGTTCCGCTGCACGGTGTGCAGGAAGGTCCGCAGCGGCCGCACCACCTGTGCAGAGCGAGGGCCGGTCAGCGCGGGAGAGAGCCAGGTGTGGGCGGGGCCGGCAGCTGGGGGCGGCTGCTCGCCTTGCTGCCCGGGCCGGGCGGGGAGGGCGTCTTGCTCCTGGGGGGCTGCAGGTCCTCGTCCACCAGCGAAGGCTCCTCCTCCAGATCACTCATTGCCCGCTTGTAGCTGCGCTTCCTCCTGTCCAGCCGGGCAGGGTCAGGGCGGCCGGGGCCTCCCAGGGCCGCCGTGCCCAACAAGAGGTCACCCGAGACGGGAAGGGACTGAACCGCTGGGCCCCTCGCGGGCCCCTGCTGCCCACTCAGAGGGAGGGAAGCGACCAGGTCACGGAGCCAGGGCTCAGAGGGACAGGGCTGGAGACTGGTCATGCGACCCCCACACATCCCCCTCCCGGGCTTGGGGTGGGAGCACACCTGACGCTCTGGGGCTGCTCTCGGCGTCCATCGGCGTTGTTGGCTGCGACCCCTGTGACAACAGCAACCCAGGTGGGGAGCGGGCCCCAGGCAGAGCCGTGCGGAGGGCTGCAGACTGCGTGGCAGTGGCCATGACGCGACGAGCCCTCGCCGCACACCCTCCCGCCGGTGCGGCACACACAGACGCCCCCACAGCTGCAAACCACCCACGCCAGCCCTGCTGGGCCGCTGAGCGAGGTGCAGGCAGAGGTGCGGCCAGGCAGCCAAGGTCCCAGCCCACTGCAGAGGCCGAGTGGCCCGGCAGCAGCTCCCAGGGCAGCAGCGCGAGAGCCCACAGCACCCCGCCTACCCTGGACAGTGCAGGCCAGCAAGGAGCGGGGCAGGGGCTGCGGGCCGGGAGGCACCCAAGTCAGGCCCTGCTGCAGACCCAGGCCCGAGGTTCCACTCCTCCCTGGGCTGTCGCCCGGAACAGGCAGACCAGGCCAAGAACCACAGCTGGCCACACACGCAGGGCGGGAGACTCACCCTGCTGCTGCCCTTCAGGGGCCATCTCCCGGCCACCAGGGGCTGGCTGGGAGTTGGGCGTGCGGACAGCGGTGTCGGTAGCACCGCGGGCCAGCAAGGTGTTCTGGCCGCTCCCAGGGTCCTGTGGGAGGAGCGGAGGCATGGGCACTGTGCGGGCCGGGCAGGCCTGGCTGGGGTGCACCGCAGGAGCTCCTGCCACCTTACCTCAGGCTCAGCCACTGCCACCATGGGCTCAGCCTTCCCGCCGGGCTCCTCCTGCCTGGGGCTGAAAGCACAGCGGCCACTGTGGGACCCCAGCCCTGGCAGGGGACAGGGCCCTCGCAGCTCAGACATCCTGCACACGGAGAAGGCTGCTTCCTCTCCGAGCTCCCATGCAGAGGGCCCAGGGGCACCCTCGGGGGAGGGGGGGCAGTGAGTCCTGGCCGCTCCCCTGCACCCTGCTGTGATGCACCTGCTGCCACCGGGCCAAGCCTTGGGCCCACAGCCCGTGAACTGGCCCGTCTCCTCTTGTGCACTGACTTGTCCCGGTGTTTGGTGCAGAAACACTGAGTTGCCCAACAGGGCCCCACCCAGAAGCCCGGTCACCCACATGCCCATCCCAGAGCCACAGCAAGGAGGAGGCGACTAGCTCAGCGATGGCAGGACGTGGCCTCCAGAAAAGAGCCAGGGTCCAGGCCCAGCAGAGAGCACCCCAGCCCCAGGCCACCCAGATGTGCAGGGGCCCTTCAAGGCCACTCAGCCTCATCCACACATGCCCCAGAGCCCACCCTGGGGTGCGGCATGGCACCCTCAATGCCTGCTGCCTGGCAGGACAGGGCAGGTGGAGGGCAAGGCTGCCAGGGTACCAAGGGCATCCAGGAGAGGCGGGAAATGCTTCTGCCTGATGCCCATCCCATCCCCGCCCCACTGTGCCCCGCCTGGCCTGGGATGGGAGGCCCCAAGCCCTGGGACTGAACTCACCCGACTCTCTGCGGCACCTCAACATTCAGGAGCCTCTCCAGGTAACTGTGACCTGCGGGAAACGGGACAGAAGATGCCATCAGCAACTGGCCAGGACCAGGACCCCCCCCAGCGGGCCCAGGAAACCAGCTTCTGTGGGGACAGACAGAAGCCTGACCCTCGGCCCATCCCAGCAGCCTCCATGACCCTGAGCTGCAGGCCCGGGCCACAGGAAAGCGGGGCTCGGCGGGGCACTGCTCCTCGCAGATCGCCTCTCACACCACTGTGGCCCCTGAGGTCCCCAGGGCCGAGGTTTGACAGGGCAGGGCCTTGCCCCGGGCGGGAGACCAAGGGGACCCGGGGTCCCACACCCCACTTCTTCTCTTCCTCACTCCAGCACCCACTCTCACCCTGAGGTGCTGCCCACCAAGGGCCTCAGGGCAATGGACTGACACCTCTAGAACCCAGAGCCAAAGAACCTCTCCTCCCATGAAGGCGCCCAGCTGCAATCTTGTATCGCCACAGAAAACTACCACATGCTCCATCTCGGGTCTTCGGGCTGGGCGTGGTGGGCACGCCTGTACTCCCAGCACTCAAGGATCTCTGAGTTCAAGGCCAGCCGGGCCTACATACTAAGCTGAAGGCCAGTTTGAACTACACAGTGAGACCCGGTTTCAAAAAAAAAATAGGGTATCCAAAGAAGTTCTTAAACATGAATGAAGGGCCAGGGATTTAGCTCAGTCCATGCGACCGCCTGCCTCACAGAGGCAAGGTCCTGAGTTCGATTCCTAGTACCAAAAAAAAAAAAATGAAGTGAGTCTGTCAATTAAAACGACATATTTTTTGAGAATAAAAAAAAAATTGAGCCAGAAAAAGCCACAAGTAGAATTTTGGAAAACACATCCTCATCAGAGAAGCTTCACCTCCCATCCTGCAGATGTCTCGCTGGCAACAAAGAGCAGCTGCGCCACAGTGTGGCACGGAAGCGGGCATGAGCCAGTGCCATGTGGGCCAGAGCCACACAGCACAAGGCCTGGGAAGGAACCACCCACCCTCACTCTTCAGGTCCCAGGCACAGCTCGGGGTGGAGTGCAGAGGCCAGGAGTCTCTGGAGCCCACCATCCTGGACACGGAGCTGAGTGAGGCTCTCCCCTGGCGTGTCTACCTGCCACACGAAGGTCCTTCGGTTTTTGTTTCAAGAAATCTCACAGGGCCAGGGATGCAGCTCAGTGGTGCCACCACCTGCCTCGCAAGCGGAGGGTAGAGTTTGATCCCCGGTACCAAAGAGAAATCTCACGGCGCCAGGCAAACGCCAGCCACTGTTCGCCACACTAATGTAAGCCTGGCCCGCCTGCCTCCTAACAACGCCAGGCCCTCATCCCCGCGGGCCCACGCTCCTCACGTGGCACGTGAGCTGACACCCTGTCCCCTGAGCTTTGTGCTTTTCCTGCACCAGGGACACCTGGCCCACACTTGAACTGCTCATCTATGCACCTCATAACATTGCTCCCTGGCCACCGGTCCCTGGGGCAGAGCCCTGCCCAGGACAGAGCAGCCAGGACCAAGCTGACACCCGGGCGAGCCAGGTGACGTCAGAGCAGGAGCCCAGGCAGAGCAGACAGTGCTCCACCCAGGCCGAAGCTCGGCTCTGCTATCTGCCCACTGCCCCTGCCGGCGGGGAGCCCCATCTCCAGACCAGGCCGGCCTCCCTATCCGGACGCTGCACACGACTCGGGAAGGCCAAGTTGGGCTCCACAGGCCAGGGACGAGGACAACGCTGGCTTCTCCAGCCGCAAGCAGCCGTGAGCCAGGGAAGGCGGGCAAAGTGCCAGCCTCTACCTCCTCATCAGCTGGTCAGTGTGGCAGCCACAGGCTCCACATGGCCGCAGACAGCTCCTCCGTCACACTGGTCACATCGGAGGACAGTGCAGTCAGACACAGCTGCATTTGGGCAGCAGCTGGGAAGTGCTGCCCTTGCCTAAGCTGAGGGGAGCCCCTTGCTGGCCCAGGCCAGCCTCACTCACAGATGATGCGGGCGGAGGTGGCGGGCTCTGGGGCCGTGCTCTGGGCAATGCTCCTGCTCAACCTGCGGTGGGTGCCTTCCTGCTGGGCCACCAGGGTGTACTCCTGGGCCAGCGCGTCCTGGGGGCCCGGGGCGATCAGGCTTCGACGCACAGGCTGGGAGCCTGCGGCTGTGGAGCTGCCGTTGGGCTGGATGGGAGCCAGCACCCGCCCCCGCCACGGGGAGTCTGGGCAGTGGGGTGAGTCCTGCGGGCTGGGGCCCCCGGCCCTCGCGATCCTGAGCTTGCAGGCGGAGCGCCCCGTGCCGGCGCCTCGGCTCCGGGGGTCCTGCGGGGTGGTCACCAGGGTGCTCACAGTGACGGACTCCAGGCTCCCGGCCCCTGACTTCGCCGGCGTCGAGTCCTCAGCCAGGGCCGGGGGCGCGGCCTGCAGGGGGCTGGGGGTGGCCCTGAGCTGGGCAAGCCGCTGCTCAGCGCTGTGGCGCTCGGCAGTGCCAATCTCCACCACGGGCACCTGGCCCCGGTCCACGGGGGACCCCAGGGTGCGCTCGAGGGCGGCTGACGCCCTGGCGGCTGCAGCAGCAGCGGCAGCGGCACGGGTCATCCTCCGAAGCAGTACGGGGGAGCCCTGGTCCCCGACCACCGTGGCCAGCTTCTCCACCTTGTCCTTGCCTCGCAGGTGCCGGGAGCTCAGCCGGCCGCTCCGGATCTTCCTGTGGGAAGACCTGCAAGGCAATCAGAGGCTGGGAGCCTGACGGGGAGGGAGCGCCCCGAAATCGAGCTGGGGCACAGGGAGCCCCTAGCCCGCTGAGTGTGAATCAGAAGGCTCAGAGGCAAAGGATCCGGGCCCGGCTGCTTGGCACAAGCAGCGCCACCTCCTGCCTGGAGACCACTCGGAGCCTTGGTCTCCCTGGCCAACGCCGGGCCGGAGTGCCACGTGGACTCCCGCGCCCGACAGGCCCGAGCACTAGGCGGCGTCTGCCTCACTTTGCAGCATGAAGAAACAGGCTCACAGTGGGGGACCTGAACCCAGACCTGACTCCAGAGCTGGCTCCAGAGCTCTCCGCCGCCACTGATCCAGGGGCTCACGGCACCCAGCACAAGAGGGGCACGGGTCACACCCCGCTGCTGACCGGCAGGCTTCCCCCTCCTCCCCCAGGCGCAGGCCGGACACCAACACGCACACACTGAAAGCTGCAATCCCGGACTCCCTGCACAGACTCCTGCCCGGCTGCCCTCCCACAGCCCACCTTTTCCGGATGGGGTCCCTGTTCTCATCCTGAACGTAAGAAACCCGTCTCTTCCTCCGGCGATTCTTCTGAGAAGGAGTTTTGGGCATGAGCTCGGGCTCTTTGCTGAACTCTCTGTTGGGTACGAGAAGGACCACTCACGAGGCTCCGGGGACCGCCAGCCCGCTCCCGCCAGCCTGCCCTCCTCCAAGCTCGCCGCAGTGACCAGGTGCCGGCCACCTGCCCGTACACGCAGCTTCCTCCTGGAGACAGCCTCGGGGAGCCAGGCAAGGCCTCCACCTCCCTCCCCGCCCTGACAGGGCACTCGGGAAGGAGCCCCCCCGCCCCGCCTTCACCTGGTGAACATGCGCTCAGCCTCCTCCTGGATCTCCTTGAGCCACACCAAGTCCTTGTCCATGTTGTACACAAAGTCCATGAGCTTCTGGTCACAGAGGTCCAGCAGGTGAATGGGCCCTGGGGCTGCCGTCCCCATGGTGGCTCTGTCTAACGATGGCATGGACAAGAGGCACAGGGCTCAGGGTTGGGTAGCAGGACCTTCTCCAGAGGAAGAGCTGCCAGGCCACAGCCCCATCCCCATCCCCATCCCCATCCCCCCACCACTGCCAAACACCCAGGGCCTGAACCAGGGCCCTCGCCAGCGACAGACCCCCAAGCCCTGACCCTGCAGCCTCTCGTCCACAGGAAGGAAGGGCCTTGACTCACACCATCAAAGCCCAAGAGGCACACTGACACTGACCTGACAGATGGACTCTTTGGGCCAGGCATAGCCACTGCCTTCCTGGGATGGGGAGAAACAGCTCCCGCCCTGCACTCGTGGGCAGTAAGGAATGATACAGCCACCCTGTGCTACACGCATGGGAGCCCAGACACAAGCACATCACACACTGGACCCTAACACCTCCTTAAGAATCAGTGAATAGGAGGGCATCTGCGTACCACAGGAGAACGTAAGAAAAAAGGGGGCCAGAGACGAACTCTCCAAAGCACCCCACAACCCTTGGAGGAGGGTGTGGGAGAGTAGATAAGCAATGTCTCACTTTTAGGAAAATCTGTCTGCCGTTACTGGGTAAGGAAAAATGCAGAGCAACAGCTCAGTCTTTCTCAAAACCCTGGGAGCCTGGGCACCTTCCTTAAGAGCTGGTGATAAACATCTCGAGAGCCCCAGGTGGGAAGTTTTCTTTGTCATGCCCGGGGCTCAGCAAGGGTCCGACCCGGTGTGTGAATGAGCGTGAGTGGCTGGTGGCTGTCACCCATAAGACTGCACACCTCGAGGAGAACACGAGCCACCTCCCGGGCCCACACTTCCACAGCCCAGGAGAACTGCTCCCAGCTCGGCCTGCCCCCAGGATGCCAGGGCCTGGACAGGGAGGCTGACTGCTGACCCTGATCCTTTTGCAGCTTGACACCAAGTCAGGCTGGGGCCTCAGGGGACTCTGTGGGCCTGACTTCCAGGTACACTGTCCTCATTTTCAGACCAGCTTTGCCCTCCTTCTGGAACACTCTGTCTCCTATTTTGTGTGGCTTCAACACTTGGCCCTCAGATCCTCGGGGAACCCTGACCACCAATCTAAAGTAGCCCCTGTAAGAGGTAAAAAATATTTTTAATTGGTCCATATTTCATGAACCGCTCTAATAAGCCCTTATTCTTACACAGCTTGGTCAATTAGTGGACAAGGACACCCAGGCTGTATAAAGACTCACTCCAGAGGTAAGGTTTTGGGGTAAGAAGGAAGCTGCTACAAGTCCCCAATCCCAATAGGCTAGAAACAACAACAAAGAAAAAGATGGGGAAGAGGGGATAGGAAGGGAGAACAGGTGTGGATGAAAGACAGCTTGGGATAGACTGTGAACCCCAGGCCCCAGGCCATGGGAGTGGGAATAGAAACACACAGCTTCTCAGCTGGAGGGCGCCCGTCTCCGTAGACGCCACTCCTACAAGATTATTACATTAAAAGCCTGGCTTTCGTGGCCTCTGGAGTCCTGTTCCCTTTTTTTGGGGGGGGGGGGGGCTGGACAAATGAGATCATTTCTTACACCCTGGCTGTAATCTCACCCGTCAACCTCAGTTCTCTGCAGAGCACTTGAGAGATGGGCTATCAGGTTGTGGCCAGTCTCTGCCACACCAAGGCCAGTCCTTGCCTGCCCCGCTCCTCACTGACAGCCCAGAGCCCTGCACTGGCCCAGCCCTGGCTGAGGGAACTGACCCACCCTTCAGGTGGCCCCAGGCAGCTCTCCACAGTCGCCAACACAGACACCAAAACAACTCTTGGCGCACAGGTTAGGGCAGGCCGACACACCCACCATCCCTCATGCCAAAGCGGCAGGATCAGGGCAGGGCTTCAGCTCTGCAGCCTGCTGCTCACTGCCACCGAGCCATCCCCAAGTACTGCACCTAGACCTCAGCCCAGCACACTGTGCGACCGCAGTTCAAGGCCAACAAAGAGAAAATTGGGGAAGTCAAAGGCTTGCAGAGGGGCTGAAGAGGGCAGCAATGCCCGGGTAACTTTTTAATGTCTGATCAAATTGGTGAAGTGGATGAGCACTTCGGTCACAAATTCCAAACAAGCACTTGGACTTCTTCCATAAGGAAGAGTTTAAGAGACCTTAGCCTGGCCATTGAAAAAAGGGTCGCCAAAAAGACAAAGAAAAAAAGATCGCCATGAATTAGAACGGTGTGTGTGTGTGTGTGGTGATCCAGAGTGAGGCTCCGGGGATGCTAAGTGTGGTGGCCCACGCCTGTAACCTCAGTACTCAGAAGGCTGAGACAGGAGTATCGCCAGGAGGTCAAAGCCAGCCCGGGCTACACAGCCAGACGTGTCTCCAAAAAAAACAGCAGAGGAGGAGTAAAGACCGGGTCTTCAGGCCTGAAGAACAGTGCTGCCCGCGCACCGGGCCCTGACGTCCCGGAGGAGGGGGCTCGTCTCCCCTGCAGACCTCGGCCACGGCCTGCTCGGTCAGGGCCCGCGCCCTCCCGCGCCGGCGGTCTCGGGCTGCAGGAGTCCCGCATCGCCCACGCTGCTCACAACCCCGGGACAGCGGCCGAGGACACCGAGGCGAGAGGGCGGGCGCCCGGGCTCCGGCCCGAGCCGGGCCGGGGTTCAAAGCTTTCACCCAGCCGGGAGCCTCGGCCCGGGCGGTTTAACACGCGGGGCGGGCGGGCCCAGAGCGCCGGGGGCCTCGGGACGCGGCACGAACACTCACCCGCCGCCCGCCCGCCGGCTCAGGCTCCCCGGTCACGTCCGCCGTCTCCGTCCGGCCCCGGCCGCTCGCCAGACCCGCTGGCTCCGGATCAGCGCTCACCACACAGCGCAGCAATGGGCAGCGCAGGAATGGGCGACGCAGCGCGGGCGAAATCTACGATTTTCAAAACTGAGGGCTCAGCCAATTCTGGAGTAGTTTGTGTGGGCGGTTGCAAACCCCGGACCCAATCAGGTGGCGGTAATGACTGTGCTGGACATTCATTGGCTGCTCAAACTATCAATCTGCGGGACTAAGGGCGGGGAAAGGAAGCGTAGACGTTTTAACCCTCCCCGGCTTCCGGAGCGGGAGGAAGTCGCCGGCCGGGCGGGTGCGTGACTTCCGGGACTACGCGTCCCAGCGTGCACTGGGCGGGGCGGGGCGGGGCGGGGCGGGGCCGCTGGGTTCCGGGGCGACGGCCTCGCGCCTCTGCCTCTTCCCGGAAGTGGGGAGAAAACGCAACCAGGCGGTCCGGCAGCCGCGCTGCGCTCGAGGTTGTCCTGCCGCTTCTGTGACCGAGCGCGAGCTGCCCGCCATACCCGGGGACGTGGCCGCTGTCCGAAGGGACGCCCTTCCTCCCCGTCCCCGCAGACGTTGAGGGCCTTGTCGCCCAGGCTGCCTTGAACTCGTGCGATCCGCCTGCCTCAGTCTCGCCAGTGCTGGGATTATAGGCGTGCTCCACCACGTTGGTTTAAATACATGTTTTAATGTACAAAAACATTGGGAATGGGTCTCTATAAAAATCTGCACCTATATTTGTATTAATGGTACACTATCCATTTATATTATTGCCAGAAAGAAACAGGATTCAGTATGAAGTTCATTCTCATTTTTCTTATGGTTTTTGACCACCTCAGAACTGCTCTTCTGGGGGCCCTTGTTTTTTAATGCATGCAAACGCTGAGATAACTTATTTATGTAAATTAGTAAGTGATCAACAAGCCTGGAGGCACACCCTGTGATCCTGGCACTTGGGAGGCTGAGGCAGGAGGATCGATGTGAGTTCCATGCCAGCCTGGAGACCCTGTCGGGAAAAAAAAAAAAACCCTAAGTAAAGAAATAAGTAGAAATGCAGATTTGGGGACTGCATGATCCCTCTACCTTTTAAACACCTGAGAAACCAAAAATTTCATGGTGATAGATGAACCAAAATTGTCTTTAATAATCAGCCAGCCGATGACACCGCCAGGAAACCGGTTTCTGAACAAGCCCTCTTGGTCCTTCATGCCCTTGATGAAGGAATTCAGTCAGGACACGTGACCATGGTGGAGAACTGGGCTTCACCAGCACCTGACACCTTCACACGCTCAGGACTTCCTCCTGGATTACGATGCTTATCACATTTTTTTTTTTTTGGTACTGGGGATCGAACTGAGGATTTGGCGCTTGCAAGGCAGGTGGTGGAACCAATGAAGTAAATCCCTGGCTATCGTATTTTTTTCCTAGCGGTTACTTTGGCGTTGCCAAATGTCTTGTTCTTTGCAAATGGTCAGTGGCTTCCCTTGGGGCCTTAATCCTGGAAGATATAAAAGGTTCTGGTCCCAGGCAAGACCTTTCCCCCAAATCTTTGGGCTGTGAGGGTGGCCAGAAAGGCTGTGTGCCTCATTCTGGAAAGAAAGGCCTTGGCCCAAGGCGCTGGGAGCTGATAAATGATCACCCACGCAATCTACACAGAGATCTTGGTTTCGTTATTTAACCATCACTGGCAAAGCATGTCATTTCGGACCCCCTCTGTCTCTGGGCCTACTGACACCTAAGTACCTGTCTAACAACAGCAGTCAGCTCTAGGCCCCTTGGGAAACCCTGGGGAGCAAGGAGCCGAGAGCCCACACTGAGGCCCGCTTGCTGAGGGAAGGACCACAGTGTGAAAGCCTGAGAACTTTCTGGAGAATCCAGGGGTAACTGATGCTGTTTTCTTGGTTATCTGCAGTTAGCCTGCCGTGGACTGGCTTCTCCGTGAGCTAATCGGGTGCTGAAACCTGTAAATGAGATTCACAGTTTCGAGGTAGTCTATGGTATCTTCCGTCTCCCCGCCTTCCCTTTCTGTTTTGTTTTTGTTTTTTGAGACAGCGTCTCACTGCATAGTCCAGGCTGGCCTTGAACTCTGGGCAGTCCTCCTGCCTCAGCCTCCCGAATGCTGGGGTTACAGGGATGTGCCACCTCGCCCAGCTGCCTATAATATGTCTGACTAACTTAGCTGCTACAACACAAGGAGCTTGACTGACTGCATAAAATCAACCTCAGTTGTCTGGTGCTGAGCATGGCTCCAACACGATGGCTCCTCAAAGCTGAGGTCACATGACAATGTTTCCCAGCTGTGTCCCATCACAGAGCAGATGCTCATCAAACTGCAAATAACTGCGTCTTCATACAAATGAGAATACTAATAGTTTCTGGATTCTGGAGGAATCAGAGAAAAAGTTAATACTTCGATTCTGTTTACAAAAAGCGTCCTTTATCAATTTGCTGAAAAAAATGTCCTTAGTTTTCAGAAATCTCCACTCTTCAGAACTCACAGCGATCCTCCTGCCTCAGCCTCCCAAGTGCTGGGATCACAGATGTGCACCACCACACTGTTTTCTTTTTATTTTAGAGAGTCTTGCTTCTAGCTAAATTGATAAATTGTCCAGGGCTTGAATTTGAGATCCTCCTGCCCCAGGCTCCCAGAATGTGGGGATTGCAGGCCTGCACCACCATGCCCACTGACATCTCTCTTTACAGGGAATGGAGAGGGATTTCTCTGAGAAACTCTGAGGCCCCTGCAAATCCCAGTTAGGTTCAGGCGGAAGACTGAATTGAGATCCTAGTTTGGGGAAGTTTGCCATTAATACAGAATTTAAGCCAGTGATTAGAGAGAGCCACAGGCTGCTGTGAAGCAGCCACCTGAGGAGGAAAAGCCTTCAAAGGCAAACAGAAGCTGCATCACTGGGGGACAAACTAGCTCCTTAATCATTGAGAGAACTGTGACAGCAGGAGCTGCAGGAAGTAAGTTACCTTGGCAAAACAGCCTTTGCTGTGGAGGCGGATAACTTCCAGGCAAAGAAAAAGATTTTACAGCTGGGCATGGTGGCACACGCCTGTAATCCCAGCACTTGGGAGGCTGAGGCAGGAGGATTACCTGGAGTTCATGCCCCGCCTGGGTTGCAGAGTGAGCTCAAGGGGTGGCTGAACCACAAAGTTAATAGGCTGTCTCAAAAAAAAGGAAAGAAATAAAAAGCTTTTATAAGACTATGCCAATATGTTAGGAAAACATAGCGATGACCAAGGCCTCCTTCTCCATTATGGTGTCCTTTGCTATCAAGACCCAGTTTTAAAAGCGTATTAAATCAGCCCATTCCATCTCAGGCAGCTGACACTGCTACCCTTGGGATCATAAACCCCAAAGGCCCTGGGGTTGGAGCTTGGCCCCACCAGTGGCACTGGGCCAGGTGGGCAGGCTCTGGTCATGGGGGTGCAGCCCTGAAACCCCCCCTTCACCCGCCTGCTTTGACAGGGTCAATTTGCCAACAGGTGCACCTTCAATCAGACTTTGGGGCTCGATCCCTGAATACAGCCACTACACACTGCTACAAGAGTTGAAACGATAGTTTAATAGAATGAAGGAAGAGAAGAAGAAAACACATGGAGGGCCGGGGATTTAGCTCAGTGGTTCTGCCACCTGCTGTGCAAGCGCAAGGACCCGAGTTCAATCCCCGGTACCAAAAAAAAAAAGAAAACACATGGAATTAGAAGTCACACACAGGGTACAACACATCACCAGATGGGGAAGCAACACTCCCCGCAGTGAGGTTCCGTTCTGGGATGGGGCCTGCCACTGCTGTTACTTTTACACCAGGAGAGACAAAGGTTGCCCTGTGCCAATAGGCATACGGGGCTTAGTCCAGGGTTTCAACTTCTGGGATCTGGCTGAGAGCCAGGGCAAATTCCATCCTCAAGATGTTCCTGTTTTTTGTTTGTCTGTTTTTTGTTTTTGGTACCGGGGATTGAACTTAGGACCTCGCACTTGCCAGGCAGGTGCAGTGCCACTGAGCTACATCCCAGCAAGATGTTCCATTCTATATCAGTCGTCTACTGTCCCTGGAGGGTAGCCAGCCCCCCAGGAATAGCCACGTGTCAGGGTCATCTTCAGTCACATGACTCTGACTTAACTCTTTACTCTCATGGTCCCTTCACCTCCCCACCTCTGTCTCTCTCTGTGCCTCTCTTTCTCTTTCTCCCTCTCTGTCACTTTCTGGACACCAGGTAAGCATCTTGCTCTACTTTTGCCCCCACCAGATGGCTTCCACAGGCCAAAGCAACAGGACCAATTAGCCACAGACTCTGACCTCTGAAACTGTGAGCCACATAAACCTTCTGTCTTTATAAGTTCATTATCTGGGATATTATAGTAACAGGAAGCTGACTACTACAACCACATGTAAAGTTTCTTTTCAAAAATTCCTCTTCCATAAACCTGCCACAATTTTCTCATATCCATTCAGTTTTATCCTAGGCTTCTTTTTTATTGTGAAACTATTATAGACAGCTAAGTTAGTTAGAAATATTATAGGCAGTCACACAGGACTGGGCCCTTGAAAAAGTCAGTACAGAACATGACTGTGACTGGAGGTGCATTCATTAAAAGGCCAGGGTTCAAGACAGAGAATTGATACACCCACACACTTACCCCGGAAGATGAACAGCAGCAATTGATAGTCTCTCTGGGTTCTTTTTTTTTTTTTTTTTTTTGGTTCCAGGGATCAAACTCAGGACCTTAACACCTGTGAGGCAGGCACAGTGGCACTGGGCTAAACCCCCAGCAGTGATTGATATTCTAAATAGGCATCAATCACCTGGCTGGGGGACCAAGACCTTAACCCATCCCTTACTGAAAATCCTTGTTCTTTCATATTCACGTGCTATGTGACCTGCTTCCCCATTTGATTCCCATTTAATCAGTATTACCTAAGTGACTATACTTGTTGTAATCTTGTTGGTTGACCATCGTTTGTCCTACCTCATACCCACCTTGTGATTTCCCATTGGATCAATATTACCTAACCAACTATTCTTGTAATCTCATTATTTGACTATAGCTTTATCCCACCTTACACCCGCCTCACCTTGTGGTTTTGGTCTATAAAACTATCTCGAGAAGTGGGGTCCCCTGGCCACCCACTT